AATGTTTTCAGTGTGTGTATCAGTTCTTTTTGAATGTTTTCATCTAATTTTAACAAAACCGTGATAATATTGGTAACCGTGATAACTTTGGTCACTATAATCGTGATATGAAATTTTCATACTGTTACATCCCTAGTTGATGTCAAAGCAGTTTTTCTGAACTCTGCTGCGCAAAAGCGGCGGTATCTGAAGGGGCAAATACGTCAATAGTCTTTACCTCTGGTTTTTGAATTTTCCAAGCATCAAAATCATGAAAGTAAACATGGAAAGCCATCTTATGTGTGTTCATATAGCGTATTTGTGTGGGGGAAGGAATCTGTGTACACATGCATCTGATAATAGTGATCAAGCAATCAGTTTCTTATGCAAATTTCAGCAATGAACCTTCTGAGTAAATTCATGTTACCTCTAGGTGACCTTGCAGTTGCTAAAAGCTTTCAGCTGATTCCAGACATAATGGAATGGAAAAGCCTTTTCTTGTGCCTTCTCTTTTTTTCCTGTGAAAACATCTTGGTCTGTCCTCTATGGAGGCTCCAAAATCCATTTACAGGTATTTTAGTGCTTGAAGAAGATTGTCATGATCTCATCCATACTAAACTCAGGCCTATTAGCCAGAGAGGGATAAACGTCAAATACAATGGCTGTACAACGTGCGTGAGAATCTTCTATGAAACTTAATAAATGGAATATAAGGTACAACTGAGCTAAAGTTCCCTTAAGGATTTTTTTTCTGGTGGATTTGTATTATATACACAAGTCTGCATCATTGTAAAAAATTCTAAATTGTTCTATAAAGAAATATTAAATGTTCGATTATTTGTACCCAGTGTGTGGCATATAATTTAGATGTTTATAGTTTTAGATAACTGAAGTTAAACATACACTACTGTTTGGTGTCAGTAAGGTTTTTTTAGTACTTAAAAATTAATACAAAAATAATCCAGCAGCTATGCATTATATTGTTAGTGACAATAAAGACATTTACAGTGTTACAGAAGGTCTTTATATTTCTAATAAATTATGTACTTTTGAACGGCGTATTTACCAGGGAATCCTGGAAAAGAAAATATATCACGGTTTCCACAAAAATATTAGGCAACACTGTTTTCAACCTTGATAATAATAAGAAATGCTTCTTGAGCACGAAATCAGTATATTAGAATGATTTCTGAAGGATTATGTGACATCAAGACTGGAGTAATGATGCTGAAAATTCATCTTTGCCATTGCAGGAATAAAATACATTTTAAAATGTAAACAGAAAACAGAAGTTTTTACTGTATTTTTGATCAAATAAGTGCAGCTCAAAAACATTAAATGCATTTTGCATTTCGAATGGTAGTGTTTCTAGATCAGTTAAAGGCACAATATGTAAGATTTTTTTATTAAAATATCCCAAAACCACTAGAACAGTGTTATATATTTTGCTGACTTGTGTACTTACATTATCCCAAATGTTTTGAAGAATGTTTAAATCCAGAGAAATAAGCAATTTTAACTAGTGACACGGACCGTGTCTATAGTGTCATTCTGTCGCCTGCCGATGACGTCATACCCCCTCGATTTTTCCGGTTTTATTTTGTTGAAAACATGGAAACCCCAAAGACACTTTAATATGTTATGCATTTTATTTGACAGGTGATGAACACACAGAGTAGCATTATAACGGAACTTTCAATACACTCAAATGTATCTAGTATAAAACAGCACTGTTTTACCTCACATATGCATGACCTGAAGAAGCAGAAGCGGTCGACTGTGGTCGAGCCGTGTATCGCGCTTGTCCTTCATTAGCAATCACTCCAGCGGCCTCATTTCGCTTCCACGACTTTTAGCCCCACCCTGCTTCATACTACAGTGACCTTAATAAGTCTTTAATACATTAGATTGACGTGGTAAAATAAAAATGACAAAGTTTTATGGTTTTGTGTGTGTGTTTGTTTTGTTTTTTAATATATATATATTACAATAATTTGATTATCAAGTTAATCTTATTTTTCCCTTCATCTTTACATCTTTCCACTTCCTGTAATTTATGCCACGGTGTCTATTGCCTTTTGAATTACCGATGTAAAATGAAATGAAATGAATCTAAAATTAGCTTATATAGCACATATCTGAGGTCTCACCCTCACCACAGGCTTCTGTCCTGTCAGTCTTTGAGCTCCTCAACTGGGAGGAGAAACATGATGGACAGCTTAGAGGATTCCATCTGTCTCTGACTGCTTTGCTCAGACTGACACCTTTTCACACAGGTGACAGGTGGTGTATCAGCACTGTGGTGGTGTGTGTGTGTGTGT